GATTAACCACGGTGAAAGTGGGTGGAGAATGGTGTGTTTTGATTTTCTTTCTGAGAATTGTTAAACCCCTATGGTTTTATATGTAATCTTTCATAGCCGACAACTAAATTCAATTGCATTCTCATTACACTGTTTATCTCTTTTCTCTCAGATTTCTGGCAGATTATGATGAACAGTTTCCTATAGTGGATGACATCAGTCTACTTCAGCAGGCTTTCCCTCTTTTGTATCCTTTACTATGGATAGAACACTGTATGCTGATTTTGAAAGTAACAAAAGGGGAAGCATTCTGGCATCTTTCCGGCTTCTGCTTGAGAGAAGACAACCTCAATGATTCCAGAAATAACCTGTCCCAAATTCTAATTGTTTTCCTACACCCTTGATATTGATGCTCTGATACCATATCTAGTCTCATTTCGTCCAATACTTACCATGTATATACAATGCTCACTTCATTAACGTTGCCATGCAACGAAAACCCTGACAGCAGATGCAGATTGTTAAATCTCAGAGAGATTATCGCAGCAATAACAACGTCTATGCCATCAATTCAGCTCTAGTTTAGCCTGTTGTGCAAGTAAAGAGAGAACCACAAAGTACATTCTGCCTGACTTGCCTTTAAAATCTTGTCGTTACTTTTTCTGTCACAGAGAATCATAATAATACATCTTTCCCTACTTTTTAAAATTCCTTTTTTTTGCTATTGCATTTTCTGCTATTCTCCTTGATCTTCCCACTCAGAGACGACACCAGGACATCTTACCTGTTGAAGGGTGTAGAGTCCGCCTGGGAGTTTGTGGGCAAAAAGAGAAGCTTCCCCTCTGCAATCTCATCAGCCAATCACAGTGCAGGAGCCAAGAGCAAGACCGGCAGAGATTTAGAAGCTTCCCAGCAGGAAGGAGCAGGAGTCAGAGAGGAGTTGAGAGGAGCGGAAGCTATGACTGACACTCCCCGTAAGGGTGACAACGTGAGTTCATTAGCTGCTTAAAAATTCTACAACATTGCTGAAAATAATTTTTTAGCACCCATTGGTGAAATAAAAAGTATTTTTTTCTATCTTTTTTTTTTTCTGGGGCCCATAGGGGGCAGTTTGCACATTGAGTGCTGGAGAACTGGAGTCTCTGTTGACCCATATCCGAGAGCTGCTTCCAGACTTGGGAGATGGATTCATACTGGCATGTTTGGAGGAGTACGGATACAATTCAGAACTTGTCATAAACAACATCCTGGAAGATAAACTGTCACCTTCTCTTGACAAATTGGACAGGGCAATGGCCAGGTAAAAGATTGGTAACACTTACAATAAGGTTCCATTAGTTAAAGCATTAACTAATCTAAACTCATGTTTGTTAACATTAGCTAATAAAAAAAAACAACTGTTCATTGTTGATTCATATTAGCTTAGGTCCATTACATAATTGATAACTTGTGATTTTAATAATATATTAGTAAACGTTGAAATTAGGATTAACTAAGCTCAATGAAAAGTGTTTTAAATTGTTAGTTTATTTTAACTAATGTAGTTAATTAATGTAACCTTATTGTAAAGGGTTACATAAGGATTTATGGTTCAACTCGGGTCCACTTCATTGTTATTTATTGGCTCTGTAATGTTGCCCTGTAGGCCTGTGAAGAAGGAGCTTCCTTTAGTTTTGAGCACAAGATCAAATGTGTTTAACGATGACGAGTTTGACGTGTTCAACCGTGACCGATTGGACATGAGTCGCATATGGAAAGGCCGGAGGTAGGTTCTGTGAGCCCATGTTAAAATTCTTTGTAAAAACAGTTCTACCCAATTAAAGCAATATTAATATTGTTCAGTCAAACAATCCACTAAATATTTATGAAAATGCAGTTGGTCAGTAGAAAATAGTCTTTGACAAGGACAGTGTAAACTGATATCAGAGTAGGCATAAAGTGAACTTATGAAATATTCAGCTCAAGCTGTAAAATCTGGTTTGTGTCAGCTAGAAATTTAAATCTCTGCGTATTTCAGACAGGGGGAGAGTGTACGTGCCACACTCGATGATAAGCAGCACATAGAAGAGCAGAGAGAGAGATATCAAGCCTATCAGACAGTGGTGGATGAGATTCCCATTTCGAATGAGCTCTCTGGAGACTGTGATAATGCTTTCGGCTTGGATGATTATGACGACGAATATGACGACACGTATGATATCAACCAAATCGGAGCAAATGATCTGGATGAAGAAGATGAACTGTTGAACCGCAGGTATGAGCTGTGACCAGTGTACGAAATAACAATCCTTTCCCACTTCCTGCTTGCATGTACCATTGTAGATTTTGAGAGGAATGCATTCCCCTTCAATCTTTTCAAACACAAAAACTCATGAGTATAGTTATTAGACATATTGATATATAATCAAAAACATGTTGGCCAAATTGTGCAGCCCTACAAACAACTCGGCAAACCTGGAGCTTTTTTTAAAAAAATAAATAAATATATATATATATATATGAAGAGTTCAGATGCAAAAGCCTCTAAATGCCATTTGAAATTTTCTTCTTTAATGATGATTTTTATCAAAATTGTATATTTAAGTTCAGTAATTTCACTTAAATAACAATTAATAGGTAATTATCATTGCCATTTAAGTGAAATTACTGAACTAAAATATACAAGTTTGATAAAAATCATCATTAAAGAAGAAAATTTCAAATGGCATTTAGAGGCTTTTGCATCTGAACTCTTCATATATATATATTGCACCATATATATATATATAGGCGTATATAGAAAAAAAAAAAATCACAATTCAAAAATGTTTTCCCAAATTTATATTGGATTTTTTTTTTTTTTAATTACATTGAAGTTAACATCTATGTATTCCCCTTTAGGCCGTTTACTATCCCACAAGTTCTAAGAACAGTCAAAAAGGCTCAGATAGAAGAAGACGAGGTGGAAGAAGAGGACACGGTTTGAATGAATCACTTTCTCTCATTAAATGAATAATTTATGTTCTTTGTCTTTAAATTTTCCTTTGCACAGTTGTTTTTATGTGTGTGATAGATCATATGGCGCTTTTCCTATTGATAGGAAGTAGACTGATTAGTCATACATTAAAATTCCAGGCTATCACATAATGCACATATCCATTTTTACAATGATCTTGTCCCATGTTATTTTGATCAGAATGACGCTGTGAAGAAGGATTACTTCGTCCAGGACCCAGCAGTCCTCAGAGAGAGAGCCGAGGCCAGGAGAGCTGCTATGCAAAGCAGGAAAGGGTAAGTTTGACTACGGACGGTTTTACTTTTGGTAGCTTACAGCGACGGAGATATGAGCTGTGTGTCAAAGCAATAGTTACACTGCACACATGTAATGGTTATTATCTAACTAACCTACAAAACATGGAGCAGTCAATCATTAATTCGATTTGTTTGGTTTTTCCTAATAGCTACAGACCGCCACCGGCAAGTCATGTTGTAGGTGGTCCAAGGGGGCGGGGACAGGCGCAGGAGACCGTTTTGGACCGTCGTAGAAAGGAGGCGAACAAGAGCAGAGGAGCCAATCACAGTCGCAGAACGATGGCTGACCGGAAGAGGAACAAGGGCATGATCCCTTCATAAGACTTTTGAATCAAGAACAGAACATTACACAGTTCTTGGAGAACTAAAAAGGCAGAATGAAGTACCTGAGGTTAATTGTAGCTCTTAAAGGCACATGGAGATGACACTCTGGTCTATTACATAGGCCTATTATTTCTTTCAGATTGAAAATTATCTCTTGATGAGTTTATTTTCTGAAGTATAAAGTAAACCAATTTAAAAACAGGCTGATTTGGAGTTTGAAGTGCTTAGTAAAATGCACAGGGATGTGTGTCGGTAAAGGGATCAAGATAGTCATATTTTATGTTTTTGATAGTGACAGTCAGCACTATGACAAAAAAGCAGTGTTTAAAAGGCAAAGGAGCCATTTCTTTTGCCCTGAAACACAGAAGTTTATTGAACAGAGTAGAGGTACAAACAGTTATTGCACTGTTAAGTAAAATTCAACAAATAAATAAAGGAACATCAGGTTCGAGAATGTTGCATCTAAAATAAATTGCTACAAAAGACGCAGTACATTACACTATCAAAGCAAAAATGGAGCTCAAAAGATCCTGTTCCAGTTCTCTAAAGGTTCAGAAAGCGATTAAGACTTAACATAAGAGCAGTCCTGTGAGAAACCTTCCCACTTGAGGTTGTACAGACCTGCTGCTAAGTCTGCTGATTTCCAACTCATTAATCATACCGTGCCAAAGGCTGTGAGCATTCGTCACTCTGGAAGAGAGTGATGTCCTTTTTCTTACATAGACTTTGAACAGGCAATGTTCTCTTGCCATGTAGAGCTGCATATTTCTACTTGCTAAGATAAATTCAAAGCATTTTGTAACAGAAAGCAAAGCATATTTAAGAATGCTTTTGAAATAAAACGTAAACCATAGGAAGATAAAACATGAATAAATAAATACTGTTCTTATTAAGACTCTCTTTGTTGTTCCTTGTGTGCAAGTGGTTTTCTTTAACGTAATGGTTGTTTACCTTTCTAGCAGATGCCCTCCTGAGATAGTGTGATAGCCGGGATGGGGAAAATTCCTTAGATTTGGCATAAGTAGCTATAGATTGGGATTGAATGATTGGCTGCCTTGAGATTCTTTATTCCTATATCTTTAAGTACATTTACATGCGCAGATATAATTGAACTTCAGTGGGTTTATTTGCACAGTTGAGCTACAGTATTCATCTGTGACACAATGCATACTCGAATATTAAAACGATTAAGCACACGTCTTTCGAGGGATGCGCAAACTTTCAGAGCCAACTGTAGTCTGATTTCCATGTAAACATGCTGAATGAAGCTGAGCTATAATTGTCTTTTTATTAGAAGATTGTTTCAATGTTTTTGAAAGAAGTTTATTTTCTTTACCATTGCTGAATTAATTTGATCAAAAATACAAAACCATAATATTGTAAAAAATTATTACAATATATATATATTTTTTTAAATTATATTTTTATGTAAAAGATGTATTCATATATATTTCAATAATGGCAAGAATTACTTTAGTCTTCTGTGTCGCATGATCCTTCAGAAATCAATGTTAAAACCAGTATTTTTCAGAAAACAATTTTTTTTTTTTTTTTTGAAGGATTCTCTGATGAATTGAAAGTTTTACCAAAGAATCATCTTTTGGAACATTATAAATGTTTTACTGACACTTTTGATCAATATAATGCATCTTTGCTGAATTAAAGTATTGATTTCTTTCAACAACAACCACAACAAAAATCCTTTTGAAAGGTAATGTACGGTAGGTTTGTTAGTCTAGCAAAAACCAGACTGGCATTTTAGTCAGACTAAAGTATTTACATAACATTTAAAAAGACAATTTGAAACTCTAAAATTGAACTTGTAGAATGCATGTAAATGTACTTAATAGTCCCTTATAAATCATCTTTATAAGTGACACTAAAATAGTAAAAGTTGCTCTGTGCATCCAGGCACAGGGCATCCTTGCAGCTCTTTGTATGGAATACAGATCCTCCTTTCATGCATCTTTCATTTTACTGGGTAGTTAAGTAACAGAATTGATTAACATGCCCCATTTCCACTGAATTGTTGCTAGTGCTGGAGCTGGGGGTTTAGCCATCAAAGCCAAACAATGGCACTACATTATGGAGCCCCATACTTGACATGCATTGGGGAAAAAAACAAGATTTCAAGGCCATGTATTAAGTATTCATTCTCACAACAATTTTGTCCCCCTTGTTTTAGGTAATTATTAGGTAAATATTGAAATGTTGTAAATCGTAGCTACGTTATACAGAATTATATTTTAGTTTAGTTAAATTACAGCCACAATTTAATTCAAACATGGGAATGAATGAATAACATGCCACAATATCTGTTTTTTTCTGCATGTAATGTATGGGCCTCTGACCTGCATTATGTCTCTGATTAACAGAAACATCTTATATGGTCTCAAAAGATGTCAAGACCACAACTTCTAGGTTAGGACCATATTCAGGCAAGAACTGCACTTCTTTTATGGGTGGAACAAGACCAGCCCTGGTATCATGTCATATGATTCCTCAATTTGAAGAGATCTGAATCGTTACTTTTGTTTTTTTGCTGTGCACATGACTTCACAATCTGTGTATCTGTAAACTGCTGAATCGGTTCAACAAATGTAACTTGAGTATTCAACTGTGCGCAAAAGAACTGATCCCGTGTACAAGAACCTACCTTCAAGGAACTTCAGGGAGATCAGGAACTAGTCCTGACTTTTGGGGTCTCTTGAAAGAACTCAAGGTATATAGTCTTTGGAAAGGTCAAAGATCATTACCATGATGGAGGAATCCTGACCTTACAGTACAGAGGAGGGATTTAGTTGCCATGAAAAGCCTGAATCAGAAGAGTCAATCCAATTCCACTATTTCCTAGTCCAGAATCCACCCTGGTCCAGTTCAATAAAAATTGCCTGTGAGTAAGAGAATGAGACCAGGATTCAGATCAAATACTGTTTGCATGGAGCAAAAATATATAGATAGATCATGAGCAAGTAATCTTTGTTTTTCTCACCAAAAACGCTACGCTTGCAGAGAGGGCATGTCTGCTGGAGGAGTAGCCAGGGATCCACACAATCTCTGTGGAACTCATGGAGGCATGGTAACACCCTCAAACACTAAAACACACCCAAATAGAGCAGTGATCAAGTTTCTGATAGACTATCTCTCTTTATAAAAGAATAATAACTCTACTGAGCAAAAGCATAAGAATGGAGAATATCTGTCACCTGGTTGTTGTTGTATTGCTCCAGACAAACTGCACAACTGTCCGTCTCCACCGGCTGAGTTTGTGTTTGGTCACACCTCACTTTGGGCTGCCGGTATGTCCTCGTCTTCAATGCTGATAATCTCTTTAAAATGTCTTGCTTCATGTTTGACTGTAAGACAAACAGTGTATTTTATTATTATTATTATTATAAACTACAGTATACACAGTGTATAGACTACTGTTCAAAAGTTTGGTAAGATTTTTTTAATGATTTCAAAAGAAGTCTCTATGCTCACCAAGGCTGCATTTATTTGATTGAAATATTATTACAATTATCATAATAATAACTTATCATTTTAATATTTTATGTAGGTTTGATGGTAAACCTGAATCATCTAAATCATTCTAATATGCTGATTTGGTGCTCAAGAAACATTTCTTCTTAATGTTGAAAACAATTGTGGTGCTTATCATTTTTGTGGAAACGTTATTAAATAATGTCTTTTTTTTTATAAATGGAAAGTAAAAAAAAAAAAAAATGTTCGAAGTCTATTGTAACACTGCTTCATCTTAACAGTTAGTAACATTAAGCTTGGACAAGGCTTAGATTAAGCCAGGCTTATGCCTTCAATTAAGACATTTAAGTAGCTTTTTTAAACATTTAAAAAAAAACAAAAAAAACATTAGTCTCAATGCAAGTTACTTTCAGTTAAGACAGCTCAAATATGCATTATATTCTGGGACTAGGCTTAAGCCTTCTGTGAAACCAAGCATTAAGGTTTTAAATCAAAATATTTCTAACTTCAGAATGAATCTGTCACAAAAACAGTGTTCACCTCTAAATCATCATTAAACTGGTTGTCCTGGTACTGCCAGTGTGCTTGAACTATGACCCCTGTGGAGAGGACAAGGGCCACCAGAACGACTGTGTTCCAAAGCTGCTGGAGATATTTCTGGGCAGATGGACAAAAAAAGAGAATTTCTCCTTGCTGTTCAATAAAGGTGACATTTATTATTAAGAAACATTAGATGAGTATATACATGACAGTGCTGAAACCTTTTGAGCTGTAAGTAGAGCTGCGCAATTCTGGATAAATTGAGAATCACTTTTTTTTTTTTTAAATAGAAATCACGATTCAGAATAGAACTAAACAAAATAGCATGTAATTTACCAGAGGTTCTGACAAAATGTTAATTGCTGCAGTCTATTTAAAAATGTTTCTCTGATTTGAATCTATGAAAAATACTTGCCCTTTACCGACGTAACAGAGTAATTGATACAATCTTTATTTGACGTGTCAAGTTACTTTCATAGGGTAATTTATTCTACTTTGATCAGTACCAACCGTAGACATCATTGATTATATCTGAACTATAAACTTTTAGCCCAGTACTTCTGTGATAATTTGGGTGTGCTGACCCAGATTAAAATCTAATAGCAGAATCATTGTCATGTAGAAATAAGATTGGATGGGTGTATGAATTAAAATCACGATCTTTTAATGATTAACTATGGAGCTCTAGCTGTAAAGCTATGACAGTACCCTGGATGATATGAGTTGTCTTAATAACGCTCATACCTGGACCTGAGAGTTGGTCTCTCCAGTGCAGATGACCCCCTGCCATTCCCCGTACAACCCTCCTCTTGAACGGCCACAGCTGGACCACAGGGTCAAGGTAGCCCCCTTTGACACCGCATATAGAAATATCACACGCCTACACTAATAATAACCATAACAAGCATGAAACTATGCTGCACATGAGCTTATTACCAGTCAAATCTTACCAGGCTATCCTGTAGAAAAGTCTTATAAGTGATTGTGGCTGTTGCATGAAGGCCCCTAAATAAAAATAATAATGAAAAAGGACATTTTTAAATCCAGTATATTGTTTATTCCAAAGAATACCGATAATTGAATGACTGAAGATTACCTGAGGAGTGCTCCAATGAGCTTAGTGACATTTTCTGATGTCTGAATGACAATGATTGGCTTTGAGAGGACCTGGGAGAGATCCATCTGTAGAAGGACAGATTTATTATTTTTTCATACATATCTAATAACCACAATCCCATAAAATAAAAGATTATAAAAACAGAACAGCAAAGCCCTCACCTCTCTGACGGTATTCTGGTTTAAAGCCAGTATGATCAACGCAGACGCACCAAAAACAAGAGCACGCTTCATCTATAGAGGAGAGAGCTGTCAGTTTGATCAGTCCTACCCTAACATCATGCTTCAGTCTTCACAATGACATATTGAATACCTTATTGACCACAGAGGCAGCAAATGACTCCTGGTTGCTGTTGCTGGAAACTGTGCCTTCCTCCATCTGGACAGGAACCACTCCGATCCACGGGTTCTGATCCTTCCCATCACTGCTTTCATCGTTGCTTTCAAGAGCTTCATCTTTTATCTGCATTGACAAAAGGAAGCATGTCACTGATGTGAAGAAGACAATGGACAAAGCATGTCCCACAAACTTTACTTATCATTAGTTTTTTTAAAAAGCAACATCTACACTTTAATCAAAAAATCAATCGAAGATTATGATCACTAGAATGTTCTTTCATTAAACTATATATAATTTAAAGCAGTTTTGCTTATATTTTCCCAATTTATTTATTCATACAAATGAATGCTACTATTGTCAATATTCGCAATATTTAATATAATAGTAATAAAACTATTATAAAGACTTTTTATCACTTAAAAGATATACTGACACCATATTGGTTATATTAGCTGTGTGCTTAACTTATGCATTATTATTATACATATTAATATTCAAATGTGCTGACACAGCAGGCGAGAAAGGTGTTAAAATGCAAATACAATAAATAATGCATGTTCAATTTTAAAGACAGAACGCAAGAAACCCACATTCAAAACAGTGAAATCAAATGAAATGGTAATTTTAGCAGTTTAGCAAAATACAAAACAGTTTGTATTATCTCAATTAAATCGAGTTTTATTTTCTCAATTAAGTAATTTATAGAATTTATAGCTATATTTTTAGTCATATCAAATATAATAATTTTAATACTTGACATTTCATTTTTATATCACAGTGCTGCTGACCCCACACTTGAGAAAAGTGTTACACAGCCAAGGCAAGACACACGTTCAGAATAGTGAAAATAACTTCCAATATCAAGCAATGATAACTCACTAATATGAGGTCTCCTTTAAGCTCTTGTTTCTTTTTGCTGTGGTTTTCCATGGGATCGTTCTCCAGAGTCCCCTTGACCACCTCACCCTGAAAAACATCCTGATGCTCTTCCAGAAACACCTCTACAAATGCTACCTGTTCGCTGGAAACTAGCGGGCAAAGCCACAACGAGCACAGGACAGAAAGACAAGCGAATGCGCCCATGGCTCCCCGTCAGTTGATGTTAAATGTCATAGTAAGTCATAGACTGAAAGTTTGAGCCATACTGACAGGACAGGCTCCGTTCTGTCACCTCCTCCTGATGTAAACAATGTGAGACGAGGTCTTCTTCTGCGGTTCCCTTTTCCTGCCTGGGCTTGTGAAAGAGAAACTAGCTAGAAGGGTATCTGTTCTTGGTGGTAAATGTATGAAGTTCGCGAGGGGCGCTGTGTGGTCCAATCACTTCTCACGACCATGATCATGACGCATTAAGCTCCGCCTACCTCGCGTCTCCATGATTCGTCACCGCATTCTGTGTATTTGTATTTTCGATTTCTGGTTCATGACTTAGCTTCAGCCGTTATGAAAAGGTGTGTGCTCGCCACCCAGTGGTAAACTTTAAAGTCGTTTTTTTTAAAATATATTTTTGTGCTTTATCATGGGCTATATGATCATTTCCTCTCATAATAGTTACATTTTGGTGGTTTCTGTGATCATTAAAGAACTTGAAGCCTAATTATTTTGAAATTTCATTACATTTTACTGTCCAATTTGTCTACTCTAGAAACATAAAGTAGTTTTATTTTTAAATCGACTGTGCTATGAACTGCAGAAACGTCAAAATATAACGTTTCATAGATAACATACAAGATGATAGATGGATGGATGGATAGATAGATAGATAGATAGATAGATAGATAGATAGATAGATAGATAGATAGATAGATAATTGGGGTCTAATAAAAAAAAATGTAAATCTTTTTTTAATGACGGCTTCTGCTAAATGAATGACTGTAAATAAGGAACAGACCATAGACTGTAAGGAACAGACACGTTGATTCTTTGTTTCCAAGGGAACTTCGACGAAGACGGCTAACTTCCGGCGTGACTTCAGTTGCTGCAGCTTCACGCTCAGAGTGATGAGAGGGAGAGAGAGCGAGACAGACATGGAGTTTAACTGAGCAACAAAGTAACGGATGAGCCGCAGCACTTAAACGGCCGGGCGGGAGGGTGGACGCTGGAAACGATTCTCCTCGGAAGCACAGAAGGAGATCGCGGGTTGCAAAAGGCGGTTTTATACTTGATCAGCGTGAAGATGAAGCTCCTGAAGCCGAGTTGGGTCAATCACAATGGTGAGAGCAGCAGCCCGACTGTGTGTGTGTTTGTGCAAGAATCCGGGGCTTCAACTTGAGCTTTTGTTATGTAGAGACGGATCGGGTCTCTTCTCCAGTGCTGTGATTGCGCTCGGATTCTTTCCTGCACATTTTAGCGCAATGAGAATCATATTAATCGGCTGTTTTTGTTTGTTTTTTTATAGCTTGGCTGGTTTTTAAGAAGCCACTCATGAATATATTATGTGCACAGTTGCACACCACCCATTTTGAAGTTGCAAAAGACAGGCAGGTGGACCTATGACATGGGTCCATCAAGCTGGAGCTAATGGCTGTTATTGCACTGTTATTGCAATTTAAGAGACGATCTAGTCACAATCAACAGATTAAATCAAGCATGTGACATTGTTTGTATCTGTCATATGCTAATGTGGCCGTATTTGTATTTTAACCTTCTTTGAACTGCAAGTAGCCTATTGTATACAGTGCAGTTTGTTCTATCATTGAATATTTTTGGACTCTTTGACCAAGTATTTTCAAACTGCATTTGTGTTCTAAGAGTGTTTTTGTTTTCAGGTAAACCAATATTCTCAGTTGATATCCATCCAGATGGAACCAAGTTTGCTACAGGTGGCCAAGGTAAAAAAATAAAAGCCACTAAGATATATTTTCCTGTTATCGTTTGGCTAACTAGTATAGCTTTCAGATGAATCTCTCCTTTTTTCTTTTTTTGTAAAATGTAGTTTAATTTCAGTCCTAATTTAGTAGTTTGTCATCAGGAACTAATATTTTCTTTGTTCACTGACAGGTGAGGACTCTGGGAAAGTGGTCATCTGGAACATGGCCCCGGTTCTTCGAGAAGAGGACGAGAAGAACGAAAATATTCCCAAATTGCTTTGTCAGATGGACAATCACTTGGGTATTACCTGTTTATCTCTAAATATTAAAATATCTGAAGTACTGGTTAATAAAAAAAAAATTGTGGATTTTTATTCTCTTGATCCTTAATTTTGCTGCATTTAGACCACATATTTTGCTCACAACATTCAAAAGAAAAATTCAGAGACTGTCTAGAATAGATTATATCTTGTCACTTAAATGTATTGTGAACTCCTGTGGATATGAATTGCACTGACAGAATGTGAGACAGAATGTGTGAGACTGATGAATATTCTGTGTCTAATCAAATGTTTTATGTAACTTTGTGCATTTCAGCATGTGTGAATTGCGTGCGTTGGTCTAATAATGGCTTATACCTGGCATCAGGAGGAGACGACAAACTGGTCATGGTGTGGAAGAGAGCGGCGTGAGTACAACTGACTTTTTTCCCCAACTTTAAAACACTTTACATTGATTAAAATTATATAACAATTAAAGGTGCAGTAAGCGATTTTTAAAAACACTTCATATTTGAAACGCATCCCTCCTTTCATTGCTCCACGCCAAAATGCAATGTAAGAGTGGATGTCTCATAGGGGTGGGAATCTTTGGTCACCTCACGATCCGATCCGATTCCGGGAATGTTCTGGGAATCACGATCCGTTCACGACTCGTATTCTTCCGAGTTACAATAATAATAATAGTAAGTTTAGTAACTATCTCTGGCCAAACTATTTTTAAAATGGCGGGATTATTCTGGATGCGTTTCTCTCTGACCAATCAGCAGTCGGCATTGTTTTCACATCACATTTTAGTACCGGCTCAGCTCGCCTTTGCTCGCTCAGAACCTCTCCGGAGGTGATACAAAAAAAAAGTACCCGAAAGTAGGTACAGGTACAACTTTTACACAGTGGAAAACCAAACAAAGGCGAGCCGAGCAGAGTCGAGTCGATACTGTGTAGTGGAACAGCTGTGCCAAATTGCAAAAACAGTGTTACTCACATATGGTGGAGAAACTATGCAAACTCGTAGTCTGTTTCAGGCCTTCCCACTAAGGTCTCTCGAGCGCAAGTGTGTTATGGTGCTCAGTCTAATCCACATTCAGTAGCGTTTCTCAGAAGTCGCTTACTGCACCTTTAAAACAAATAATTAGTAAAACATTTAGTTTAATAAGTTCCAACATTTTTTATATCAACTTTTTGAAATATGATAATAATATTTGAAATGTATTTGAATTTGAAAGTTAAAAAAAAATAAGAATGTGATGCTAAAAATCACATTTTTATATGTTTTCCAGTAGACAGAATGAACAAGCGGCCCTACTAGCGCAAATGCACTGTTTATTTCCCTACTTTTGAACGCAGATTGTTCTTTACTCGTTTATAAAACACAAACAGATGCCACAAATGCATCTCCGCACAGACCTTTGAAATCATTTTGTGTTATTTCTTTTGTTGAACAGTTTCATAGGTCCAAGCACGGTGTTTGGATCCAGCAGTAAACTGGCTAATGTGGAACAGTGGAGGTGCGTCATGATTCTGAGGAGCCACACGGGAGGTGAGGAGAAAAATGCTGTCCATGTTATTGCTGGATATTGTCCTCAGTTTTGGCATTGTCTGAAGCACATGTGGTGTTTTCTCTAAATCTGATTCAGATATAATGGATGTTGCCTGGTCACCTCATGATGTCTGGCTCGCGTCCTGCAGTGTGGATAATACCATCGTTATATGGAACGCTCGAAAATTTCCAGGTGAAAGTGAATTTAGATCTAAGAAAAAGTCTAGTGTCATTTGTTTGCAGATGCCGCTTGATTTGATATGTTTCTAATGCAATGACATTAAAGGGTTAGTTTACCCCAAAATACAAATTCTGTCATCAATTACGCACTTTCATGTCATTTCAAGCCCACAAGACTTTTATTCATCTTAAAAACACAAATGAAGATATTTTTAAATCTTGAGAGATTTCTGTCCCTTCACAGAAAGCATATATATCCAAATCTCTGATGCTTCAAAACGTTCATAAAGAGTTTGTAAAATAAATTCCGATGAATCAAGCAGTTTAATATAAGTTCTACAGAGACACGATCGATCGCTTTATATGTTCATTTAGATACATGGAGCACTTAAATATACTAAAAAGAAGCTCAGCTTGCTTGACGTGCTGAAGCAACATTGGTTCTTGCGTAAGCTCAAATGCGCTGGCCTGTCATGCAAGAATGAACTTCATTGGTCTTGCATGTCAGACATGTTTCTGTTTTCCAAATTTGAGTGCTCTGTGTATGTTTGATGATCAATGTTTGTTTACACGTGAATAAAAACTTAAATTAAATCTGTTAATGATATAAGCGTCTCTTCATAAGACTTGGATACATATGGATTTATTTTATAAACTCTTCATCAACATTCTTGAAGTGAAGTGTTTGGGGGAATAGATTTTCAATGGAATGGCAGAAATCTGTTTTGAAAATGAATGAAAGTCTAATAGATAATGAACAAAACGAAGGAACGAGTAATTTTGAATGAGTAACAAAACGAGTAATTTAAGAAAGAATTTTTGGGTCAACTAACCCTTTAAGTGTGGCTTAAGTGCCTAAATACTGTTATGGCCACTAATAACATCTAGAAAACGTTGGCTTCTCTATCAATACATTCGGTTCTGAATCAAAGCATCAAAAACTGCATTTTTTAATTCGCTTTTGTATGTGTATGCCACAGAGATTGTGATGACTTTAAAGGGACACACTGGGCTGGTGAAAGGCCTGACGTGGGACCCCGTTGGAAAGTACATCGCCTCTCAGGCAGATGACCATAGCCTGAAGGTCTGGAGGACCATGGACTGGCAGCTGGAGACAAACATCACCAAACCGTTTAGTGAGGTAAGACTAAACTTCGCTTTGCTTATTTTTTTTCTTCTTCAAGTTGTTTACATGCGCTTGACCCTGCACTCTCTCTTTTTTCTCTTCTCTACTGCTCTGATTCAGTGTGGCGGCACCACACACGTCCTGAGGCTGAGCTGGTCTCCAGATGGTCAGTACCTGGTTTCAGCTCACGCAATGAATAATTCCGGGCCCACCGCTCAGATCATCGAACGTGATGGCTGGAAAACCAACATGGATTTTGTGGGTCATCGAAAAGCTGTTACTGTGGTGGTTAGTGTCGGCACAAATCATTCATATTTCACAGAAAAGCATATTGAAGTCTTCATTGTAAATGCTTTTGTTTTTGACGTTATTGAATGGTTTATGAATTCCTCTCCATCTCTCTGCAGAAGTTCAATCCTAAGATCTTTAAGAAAAAACAGAAGAATGGCAGCACACCCAAACCCAGCTGCCCGTACTGCTGCTGTGCTGTGGGTAGTAAGGACCGCTCACTCTCTGTATGGGTATGAGACTTCTCACTATCACCCCTTATTTTTACCCTTCATCAGCCACACATTCATGAATAATATTAGAGAGTGTTTAATTTGTGAAAAATGAAGGGAAACTAATAAAAGCTTATAAAGAC